CCAACGGTACTTTGTGGTACCCGGTCACTCCAGCAAAGGGTCTAAAATTTGTGCGTTCACCCTGGTGTTCTATTTCCATCACTGCCAATCCAAGCAAATCAAACCTGGAGCCAATAAATACCCGTGAGTACTGCAAAGTCCTTTGACCCAGGAGTGAATGTCGATTATAACCCTTCCCCCTGAATATAAAAGTCAGATGTTAGTGGTGTTTTTGCCGAGTGGGAAAGGGGCTATACAGCTAGCAAGCAAACTCGAAAAGTGTCGATACACTCCAAGCAAAAACATTCAGGGAGCTTATCAAGCCCAAGGTGAGTCTGTGCAACAGCTTGCCTTTGTGCTGAAAACAGGTCAGAGGTGTGCAAAGCTTTGTCAAAATCAAGCCAGGGCGTGTGGCTTTTCAAACAAGGGAAAAGTCACTTAGCCTGTTCACTGACAGCACACGACACACGAGTTGTAAGGCATTCATTATTGATTACAATATATTGAATTCCTGTGCCTACTGGCCTTGCAGAGATACCTTCTGAGGGCAACTCTCATGGAAGAGATCAGGTACGAAATCTACTGCCATCATTCTGGGCAAAATTGCATTTAAGAGTTAGCTGAAGACAACATGACTCTTCAAATTGTTTGTTTAGTGCGACCAACAGTCCAAAACCCAAAGATATTCAGCTTTCAACGACATTAAAAAAAGCACTCCTGGCATTTGGGGAACAGGGACCAGCAAATGTTTGACATTTTGGTTTGATAAATAACTTAAAAGGTTACCCGATAATCAAATTTGCTATCGATCAGTTGGTTAATTAAATGTTTCATTACTTTTATTTTATTTATTTGTGACTCCTTGGACTCAGCTCTCTGGAACATGATTACAGGAAGACACTGACTTATAATCGCAGAAATCAAATGTTAATGAGCCTCATATTTTAACTCACTATTTACTCTAAATTTTCTCATTTTGTATTCATGGAAATTAGGCTTGTTTTGGTGATGACAACTAAGACATCATTAATCTGCATACTGTATTTAGAGGGCTTTTCCTTAAGAATCTAATGTGTCTATTTGTATCATGTGAGGCTGAACTGTTGATAAATGACTTCATCACAGTGTTTCTAAAATCAAGGCTGCGGAGGACCAACCAGGAAACTGACTGACAGATGTTCACCATTTAAATGTCTGTCTGCAGACTCCCACACACAGCCTGTCTGTTGGAGTGATTGACTGTAGGTGCGTATACGCAAATGCTGTCAGGCTGACCATGTGTCTGCAGTCATCTAGTCATCTGCAGACAGGAGGGACAGACACACTCACACTACACACACGGGCTAGCTGGCAGGCAGACAGACCACACGACAGATTAGGATGACAGACAGACAGATTAAGAAAAAAAAACTGTGGAACATCACTTAGAGGAAAAAGATAGGTCTGGAATATCTGCTAGAAGATTTAAATCTCCGCTTACACAGACAGACAGAGGACCAGCATCGCGGTGATGTGAAGATACATGGTTGGGGATGGAGATGATAATCTTAATGGACTGGTCATCTGTCTGTGAGCCCCTGATTCGCACACACACACTAATAGAGGAGGGCTTATATATCTCGAAAGCTTTCCATTGCTCTTGAACTGAAATCAGCTTAAAGAGCAAGGGGGAGTTATTGGAAAGGAGTGTAAGGGCAGTAAAAATAGTGTCCTCTTAGATATCAGGATGTTCATACTGCGGCTGTATGGCTGAAAGAGACCGAGGCAGAATGTCCTCTGGGATTTTATCATGAGACTACACACAGAGATCAGGAATGAGACTTGCTATGGTATACTGCACAGAGATTGCTTATGGCTACTTTTGTGCGCGTGTGTGTGTGTGTATGTGTGATGCAGCCTCATGACAGATGTCATCTTAACTGGACTAATGGAAACCACTTCAGCCACTGCCTATAGCTACACACACACACAGACACACACACACAAGCCCTTTGGCCATGTCTATAAACCCAGCCCACCTGAAGGCTAACATGAAGAGGCTCAATCCCTCATACATGTACTGTACATACACACACTCCTCACACACGCACAGCTTTGTTGTCACATTAACTCAACATGCAGACAAAAGCACCGCCTCAAGTTAAGTAAAAACAGAGTGTCTTTTTATGGACACTTTGTCTCCGGTCTTGAGCAAATTCTGATGCTGCCCGTCACTTTAAAGACACTGTCTTATCTTAATTTGTCTCTAGTGTCTCTTCAGGAGCTTTGAGCATGACAGAAATAGCCCTGGCAAGGACACTAAAAAGGCACCTGCCCTTAAAAAGTCACACATCAGATGATCATCCCATTTAAATGCTCCTTTTAAAGATTATTTCTGGGAATTTTGCGTCTTCATAGGTAGCTGATAGCAACAGATATTAAGACAAAGTAAAGAAAAATAAGCATGAGAGGACAGATTTGAGGCAGGAAAGCTGGGTTATACTTTAGCCAACTGAGTCACCAGAATTCCCCCAACACTCTTTGTGGTTTGGCACAACTCCAGTGTCATCAAACATTTGCTAAAAAGGAGAGACAATGGCAGGGTTTGGTTACTGTAAAAATGGATTTACGGTAAGGTTTCTGCCCCATGGCCCACGCTGGGTTCAGCTTTAAGATGAGCTCTCCCTCTTCGCAATAGTATGTTAACTTAGATATTTGATTGCTTCAAGTCGAGCAGTCGTTTGTTTTGTTTTTGGCTTATTTTGGGGACATTTTGATCACTTAGATTTTGCTACAGAGTAAGCGTTCTTGACTTGCACACTACTCTCTGGTACAGACACCTGCGGACATGATGTCACATCAGGTAGAAGGAGAAACTTTCCACCATAAGGCTCCGAAATAACATTATCTTCTCTCCTCTGCTTGGAAGTGGTGAATTTAGAGCTCACATATACTCAATATGACACAGTCTCTGGCTTTTGTTTCTATCTAGTGTCAGCAAAAAATGTTGTTGCACATTTCTGATCCGTCTTTAGCGCTGTTAGCTTGTTTACAAAATTATATGAGCTTCTTGAAAAGTTGATTCTGTTACAACTTTTAGGCACAGGCCAATACATTTTTTTCTTCATCTTCTGATGCCCCCACTGCTTCAGTAGACACACTACCCACGTTCAAATGAATGAAAGGACTGGGGTTTTTGCTGCAACGCCTCATTTGGTGTGGATACAGCCTTTGAAATTAAGAGGAAAGTCAGCTAAGACTGAAACAACAAAAAAGTTTTGACCATATAATGTGTATCATAATAAAGCTGAGACAGACAGCTTGGATGTTTCCAAATATTTCCTTATTGAACGAAGCTCAGTGGGATTTAAATTGTGGAGGGAAATTGAAAACTTGACTTGATATGCAGAAAGTTAACAAACTATCAAAGCAGATGAGATAGGATCTCCATCCTTCTCTGGAGTGGTGAATTATTCACAATAAAGAAAGAAAATTAAGTTTAAGTTTGATTTTCTTACCAATAAAACAGAAATGAATGGAGATATGAAGTTGATCTATAGCCAATTAACCAAGTTTCCTGCAAATTACTGTAAGATAGACTAATTCAGAACCTATCCTTCAAAACGCTACACCTTTATTAATTCTACCTCATCTTTAAACTATTAAGTAAGAGCTCACAGAGCGATAAGAGTAGTTACAAAACCTCCTGTCTCAGGGACTGAGTCGAGTGTAATCTGCTGAGATTAGTGAGAGCAGATGTAGAACCTGCCAAAACCATTTTCAAGAACCTGTCCTGCGTAATATGAACTGACAGTATTTCTGCCTCGCTGGGCTTTCATTAGGTCTCTATTATTTTTGCGTTAAATAATTTGTGTTTTGGAGCATGGCACTCCAAATCTCATGTTTGACTCCCACACACAAAACTGTAAGAAAAGAAATCAAACCTTCTTTTCTTTCAGTTTTAAAGGATTAACTGGAATATGACCTTCGCTGTGGATTTGTATTGCCTTTGATTTTTTGTAAATAAAGACATAAACATCGCATTTGCTTTGATTTTGTCACAGCAAAGCCTTGTGGGACACCAAACTCCACAGACACACAGCGATCTTTCTGTATGTCTCCGCAGTGTGTCTGCGGTGTATTTTACTAACCTGTCACTTTCACAACAAAAAACAACTCCCTCATTAACAACCGTCCGCTGTGAGTGTTTGTATGTGAAAGAGAGGAAAAGAGAGGGGGGAGGGAAGATAGAGGATATGTGTGAGACAGAGGGAGGGGATGGGTGGTTGCTTAAGTGGACAGTTAGAATAAGAAGAGGAGGCGTGGTCGGCCATTGCAGGAACAAAGTTAGTCGGAGCTCCTTTATTAAAGATCAGGCACTGCTAAATAAACAGCACCTGGAAACTTCAAACCTCCCGACAGCTGTCTAACTACACAGCAACAGACAAGCACAGTAGGGGAGACACGCAGACAAATGGCATGTAGATTAACTGACAAACAGGTTGGCAGAGTCACAAACACAGACAACAGCAAAACCAGTACAGCAGCACATCAAATGTTGCATCAATTAAAATCAAGTTTGTCATTGTATAAATAATTTCCAAAGAGCAAATAGCTGTAGACAAAGTTCTATGAAGCAGTCAAACTAGTTCGACTTTGAATTATTTTTTTCCAGCGAGAATCAAATAGTTCATAGAGTCAAAATATCACTGCACTCTACACTTTAATACTGGCTTAATAAGGTGTAAGTAATATTCCAAAAGGCGCTGTGCTGGTGTGTAAAGATTGCTGATCTGTGCAACTATAAATGAGCATTAACTCCAAATGAGATGGTTAGTAAAGACAGATGGAGGATGGGATGACTGTGGATGAGAAAACTAACAATTCAACCACGACTACGGATGCCTACACACTGGAACACTGAGCAATAGTTAAGGTGAAGGCTGTGGGCTAACGATGACAACACTACGAACTATGACAAAGACAGTGATGATGACTATGACAGATGAAGCCCAGCTCTTGGCTGGCCACTGGTAACTCACCCTTCTCAGCGCGCCCCATGTGAGCTGCATCCAACAGAAGCAAAGCAGAGAATAATAACAGAGAGTTAGATTGGATGGCATGCACAAGTGTATAGGCAAGAAAAGGCAAGTTTATTTATATGGCACATTTCAGCAAGAGGCAATTCAAAGTGCTCTACATAAAACACCAGAAGCATCAAGAGAAGGTGCAAAAGGAACACATTATAAAATGACATTTATGTACAAGTAACTCTTGAACCACAAAGTATTATAGCCTAGCATTCTTTTCTTCAATGCTTCATCGTTTTTTTTAGTTTCCTACAGCCAAAGATAATGTCTTCAAATTTTGACCAACCAAAAGCCCAAGACCAAAAGACATTTATTTAATCTCACATAAACACAGAGAAGAAGCAAATTTCTTACAACTGTGAAGCTTGAATGAGAGGATGTTTGGCATCTTGCTTGAAAAATGATTTTCAATCAATGATTCTTGATCAAGAGACTAGTTTATCACCAAACAATCAGTGCCATAGGTGACGTTCACCTGAAAAATGGAACTACAGGTCATGGCTGTGACTCTTTGTAAACAGAGATTCCACAATACCGCCGTTAAGAAGATCCACCGTCAACGTCATGCCGGCTTCGCTTTTTTAAACTGAGCCAAACAATGCTGGCATAATGCTAACCCAGTCTGTGACAAGTAACACAACAGCGGCTGCATCTAGAGTCATCTTATAAAAACATAGATTCTGCTGTGTTACTACCACTGGTAGCAGCTAAAGCTTTGTTTATACTAGCGCGAGACACTGTGGTGCAGGCCTCCTAGGATGGCTCACAAGCTAGAGCTCAACTCGCTGTTCAATGCAATATGCAACAAAAAGAAACAAAGTCAACGAGTGTTACAGGAAGAATGTTATCAAAAAAGTAGGCTGTCTGGCAACAGTAGGAAACACCAACATACTGCCAAACATTGCGTTTTTGTATTGTGATTATTACGGTCGCTTACCTCAAAGTCAAATTATTTCATACTGCTTTGTTTCCCTCAGGGTCGCCGCTCTTTCCATGAGACATTAATTGCAATATCATAGGCAACTGGACTTGCTTGAGTTTCTTGAAGACGTTCACCTTTCATCCAAGAGGCAAAACGTCTTCAAGAAACTCAAGCAGGTCCAGTTGCCTACGATATAGCACTTAAGCATACTATGACCTGAATGACTGAGAATCTTCACCAAAGTATTTCCATGAGACAGTTTTTTAGCTTTTACAGCCATCTCTCATGTTCTTCCACACTCTGCGTTTAAAAGCCTGTGGTGGGCTGTTTCTTTCTAATAATTTAAGGCCATTTGACTGTCCCTGTGGTCTCTAATAGAAGAGTTATTGACATGTCTGTACACGCAAACCTGCACAGCCAGACTTCCATCGAAGGCATGCAGCTTCAGAGGTGAGCGACCAGGCACTACGACAACTTTTAGAGCCTTTGCACTCGACGCGAAAGACACGATGGCATCATTTTTTGGTGCATGAACACTGAGCGGGGGACACCAAGGTGAACATAAACCAAGCTTTAACGATGGAGTAACATTTCCCCCCTATTCATTATCCAAATATTTTATACAGAACGTCTACGTCGCGGATTAACGGTGTAACATTCCTGCCTTGACTAGTCAGCTTGTGTTTTCTCCAACAAGTCTCCCAAGCTGATATAGACTGTTGATAGTGAAGACAACATTAAGAAAGTTGACCCTAAGACACAAAATCTATGTTGTCGATATCTATGGCTGGACTCCCAATAATCCCATGCATAGATTCGCCTTTACTGTACACATTCTGCTCAGCAGCAGCAACCAAATGATCCAACCGCTTCAGATATCATACAGAATAAAAGCAAACTATAATAATGAAAACATAACTTCCTGTTTGACATAAAGTAGTGAGAATAATCTGCTGACTTGCACATGTTCCCTAACACAAACTTCAGCCTTTAGCCAACAGCTGCCCAACCTCAACCTTTACCCTCTGCTTCACCTCATAGTTACCCTAAAAATAATCATTTTCCCAAGACTGTCATCACCTGCCGCCACTTCTCTCAATCTGTCCCTCCCTCAGACGCACACAACCAGCCACGTCTCCATTATATATATCATTATCACCACACACTAGACTACACAACTGGTACTGAGGCTGCTCACATCTGTGTGAGTGTGTGTGTGTGAGGCAAAGAGAGCGAGTGTGTGTATGCACTGTAATGTAATTAATCAGCTGAGAGTGTTGATTACTTAATCTGTCATTAGCCAGCCATGTGTGTAAGTGCGTATATGAGTGTGTACGTGAGGTGGCAGGGTGTTTCTAGGCCCCCTTGTACCGACAGCTGTGACCAGAGCCAAACAGGGCAGAGCAGAGATTGATGATACTGGACTAATACCATCATTCATCAGGGATGTGATATTTCAGGGATTGGGATTTGTTCTGGATGTGCTGCCTCCCTTCATTTCCAATGGGATTTCGGCACTTTCTTGGTTTCCTGCTTCCTGCCCGCTGGTGATTTACACCCATCATGTACCTGTATCTAAAGGCTGACCATAACATTTGGTGCATTTCTGCCTGTTTTTGTGTAAATTTTCAATGTGTTCATAAAGTGCCTTGTTCTGAAAGTGTCTGCTGTGTATCAGCCTGAAGGTGAAGAAGCTGTGCTGTGATATCAAAGACGAGAAGACGCCATACAGGGTGATGGAAACAGCTTTTTCGAATACACCTTGATGTTGCAGCACCTGCTTGTTCCACTTAAGACAAAGCATCCATGTCATGCTGCTATTCACTGTTAAATGCCTCTTCTACATCAGAAAGCCCAAAAAATACAGAATTAAAACACACATGACCACAACGTTCACCCCTTTCTGTCACCGTAGCAGCTGCTAAACAGTACAGGCTACATGTGCATCAAGAGTCATGTGAACATTAAAAATAAATGCTATTAGAGTGGCAACAATTTGTTGAGTAACCAAGTAGTCGGTTAGCAGGAATTTAATTTGCAACTATTTTAACATTTAATTTCAGGTCTTTTTTAAGCAACAACTCCAAACAATCTCTGGTTTCAGCTACTTCAGTGTGATGACTTGCTATTTTTTTCTGTTTAATATCACTTTTAAATAAATCATTTTGGGTTTTGGGCTGTTTGTTGGACAAAACAACAATGTCAAGATGTCACCTTGGGGTTTGGGAACTTGTGATTGACTTTTTTCACCATTTTTTCAGGGGTTTGTAGAATATGGATGCAACTTATGATTATTTCCATTATCGAGTAATGTGCTGATTATATTCTAAAGTAATCATTTAATGTATGAAATGGCAAAAAATGTGAGAAAAAAAATGTCTATCACAATTTCTCTGTGCCCAACATGACATCTGAAAATTGCTTCTTTTGTTGGACATGTAAAGCAGAGAAAAACAGCAATCATTGAATCAGCAGAGAAAATAAATGTTTGGCATTTTAGAGCTTAAGAAAATAGAAAATCACCAGCAGGTAAACAATGATGACAACAACTGTTAGCAGAAGCTCTAAATTCTATCAGCAACAGTGGGCTCTGAGAGAGAGAGATAGAGGGTGGAAATGAGCACGGATTCATTTTAGATTTTGCTAGAATCACTAAAATTTGCTTGAAACTTGAAACATTTTAAGGGCGCCCTCTTGTACAGTTTCAGGACAACATGGTGTACAGTATGTGTCAGTCATGTCATGTTCTCACTCTCCCTCATTCTTAACTCTCTGACAACAGCAAGAGGCCAAAAGGTTGCGCTGTCGCTGTGTGTGTCTAATCCATTTTTCAACACAAACCCTCAGATTCATTCACACACACACATGCACACAATCTAATGAGGGATTAGCTAATGAATTCTCTCAACAGATTAATTACACTTTACACACACGCTTGTGTGCACGCAGACTTCATCCCCAAACAACTGAAGATACTAGCCAGTGCGTTCAAAGAGAGTTTTTTTTTTCTTTAAAAAAATCTATCACTAAATTGAAATCCGCAGAAACAGATTGGCTTCGGGCAAAGTGGCGTTTGATTTTAAGAGAAGACATTAAGATGGATCTGAAGGACGGCAGACTGAAGCATCACTTTTGACGAGAAAATAAATAAAACAGCCTTTGATTTGGTGCCATTTTACATGGCACAAGTAGAATGAGGAGGCAGTTTCACATGAATCTAAATGAGAGGCAAACATTTCACATGCTCATCTTTGTACCACTGTACTCTGCAGGGCTTAAAAGCATCGGCCTCCCTCTTTCTCTTTAAGTGACAGCAACACACACGAGTTGACGCACACATTTGCTCAACACACACACACACAGGACATGACAGAGACACACAGACACTCGCGCACACACACGCTCCCTCCTGCCGTTTTCACAGTCTCTTGAGTGGAGGAGATGCCCACGGCCAAAAACCAATGGTTGCATTTCTTGTTTTTTTTCCCCCTCCTCCTCCTCTCCTCTTCACTATCACTCCCTTTCTCCCTTTCTGGGGGAAAACACACAATTTTATTTCATCTTCCAAATGGAGCTGAAAAGTAATTATAATTAAACCAACTTGGTTCTAATGTTCAAAATACTAAAATAATTTACAATTATAATTAAACCAGCTCAGATGTGGCGCTCAGTAGCAGCGGCAGTCTTCTAATTCGTCTAGAGACACTAATGGAAAACAATTATTTCACTTCATTAAGATTAAAGATGCCTGGAATCTGTGTCACAGCTCGATCAGAGAGGAGACAGATTTAGAAAGTTGTCAAATTAACATAAACTCAGTTACACTCGTTCACATTTATTACAGTGACTTTGAAAGCGATAGGCCACAACAAAACAGCACGATAAGGAGAGAAAAGGGAGAGAGTGATTTATATAAACGCCATAATTTATAGTTTGACTTTCTAAATGGGGAAACAAGAAGATAAAGAGGGAAATGGGACAGATTTAGAGAAAAATCATCTTAACACAAACTCAAAGTGACTTTGGTGAAACGTGTCGGACAGTCTTTAAATCCTTGCCACTGTCTTTTCCCATCCTTGTCTGCGGTTTCAGAGTGAAACGGCTGCTGATGCTGCACCCCGACGCACATCTCTCCTGTGATTCTCTCTGATTCCCCTCATTATTGACTTCTGGTCTGCCTATTAACCCTATCAGCCTCATCTGTTTAACATTTCACTGGAGTGGTCAAACAAAAGTGCTGTCAGTGATGGAAACGACTGTGCTGATCTGTAAAATCAACCGTGCCCTGCGCTCTCTTTGCAGCAAATGCAAGTCCTTGTTTTGATGGTGCGGTAAATGACAACTTGTCCTCTTAGGATTCAGAAAAGGGCACAGCAATTACGCATTGGTTGCCTCTTAACAATCATTTTCCTTGTATCTGATTTGCTAAAATTACTGTTAATGTGGCTCCCTTTTATCTTTCAATATATGTACTTTTTTTTACTCTGCAACACAACCAACTGTTAGTTCTCCTTTTCAACCCCCTTTTCCACACTAATGATAGCCCACCTCCCGCTCTGTGCAAAGCACCATCTACTCACTAGTATTTACTTGCAAATTAACAGCACTCAAATTCCCAAAGAGGCCTCAAAGAAATTCCACACATTTGTTACCCAGAGAGCCAAATGGCCACAAGGGAGGGGAAGAGGGGGGTCGTTGTGGGGTATAGGACTGGGGAGAGAGAGGGCAATAAAACATTCACAGATGAAGTGGTAATTAATGTGTAATTTCTATGCAAATCATTAACAAGCCAAAGCGAATATTGAGGCAGAAAACGAGCTTTTTAAACTATTTCTGGTGATTTCCAGCACTTTAATGAAGCGCGAAGTGTCCTCTATTGCAGCCTTATATGGTCTTAGTATGATTTTGGAGGTCAGCTTTCTAACAGCTGTGTGACACTCTCTCTTTCTGTGTGTGTGTGTGTGTTGGAGTAATGAGACGAACAACTGCTGAATGCGGAAATAAAACGCGCAGCAGCCACGCATGCAGACACACAGGTACAGAGAGTTTGCCTGCGCGGACACCGAGAGCTACAGAGGCTGCACGGACTTACAGAGCTACATGAGAGCTCCCGTCTCCAGTTCGTATAGGGGGACTTCTGTAATTGCATCGTCCCGGACGGAGCGCATCAAGCAGCACTGTTGCAGCTCTTTGCCTTCTCGGTGTACAGACGTGTTTGTGCAGAATAGACGGACGAAAGCGGAGCAGATAGGCACACTTTGCGATCCAGGAGAAAGGCTTTCCATGCATCCTCAGAAATATAAAGTGGAGTTTAATCTCACGGTCGTTTCGTTTACTTAACAGTGCTCATGCACACGGTTACAACTATTTTGAGTCTCCAATAAAATCACATCTAACATCATAAAACCTCTACAGTTTGAAATAAGATGACACCGTGGAACCCACAGGAAAAAAAGTAACTGATCCTCCTCATCTTTTTCCTCCCCTTAAGTTAAATCACACGGTGCACGAACAAAAATCCATTTCATCAAACAGGGCATCGGCGTAAAGAGGCTATATTCCCAACCATTAGGTTTTATGGCATGCAGCGCGAATAAAGTTGGAGCAGGAGAGGATCATTTGCTTTGCAAGGAGCGAGAAAAGCTCACGGGGCTTGCGAACCGAACATTGCATTGCACAAAAAACAGTCCTCTTTAATAAACACTGCAGAGATGACACCTTATAACAACATGCATCAGTGCGAGGATGCACTAAAGTAGAATAGGAGTCAATCACAGGATGGAAACACCATAAAGTCAAAGATAATGCAATAATTACGCATAATATAAGTGATCACTGTGGGACAAGGTGCATATTTGGTTATAAGTGTGTGATCTATGTGTGTATGCAACTTTTTCTCCATGCATGCGCTGCTCGCGAGGCTGCACGGCTGCAAGGTGGACGATGTTCCCGCACACTGTACGACCTCCACTCTGCCTCTGATACATGCTGTTAACCGGTAACCCCGTGCGAAAGCTGCAAATGTTGCCCACTGTAGCTTGAAGTGGATTTTTGGTCTTTAAATCAGACTATATTTTTGACACAGACAGTCCGGGGAGCCCAAACAGACATACCGCAACTTTAAAATAGAGTTCATAATCCATTAGTCAGTATTACTCACTGCTGCAATAAGTCCGACCTACTTGGCAAACATACAGACAACACACAGCGTTTTAAATGCGACTTAAATGTAATGTAAGAAACATTTTAACATTTCAACAGTGACCAAAAAGCATCTCCACTCCACTAAACCTGCGTGTCTCACATCAGAAGCTGCTGGAAAACAACCACAAAGCGATAAAACAGGCACGACGGAACATTCCCAACACGGAGGCTAACTTTTCTCCCACACCTAAGCTTAAACACACACCTGTCTGTGATTCATACGCTTACACACACGAGGGAAACATTAAAAAAGAAAATGACAGTCCAGTTTTTAAACAGGAAACACTTTGGATAGGTTATTTAGGCTGTGTTGGTGCTTACCTGTCGGTATCTGTCCGGAGACGTTACCAACCGCCGACAACAGGAGCCCCAGGAATACAGAGAAAAGTGTATCCATGTTTCAAAGCGTGGCCGTGCCGTGAGTCTGTAACAGTTTTCCCCCACGCGAAAAGTTTCCTCTCCGTCTTCTGTCTTCTCTCTGCGTGTCTGAGTTCAGCGGGTTTTGGTTATTATTCCTCCTGTTGTTGTGGACTCTGCCGCCCCATTCTCTCCTTTCTCCGGGTTCTTCTTCTCTTCTCTTTTCGCTTCCTACGGGCTCTCGCGGACACTACACTTTGTTTCACGCGGAGCGAGTGAGGGAGCGCGAGCGAGAGGGAGAGAAGCGGAGAGGGAGGGAGCGCGAGCGCAGCAGGCAGAGAGAGTGCGTGACGTCACGAGGCAGGAGTTGATTGAAAAAAACACACAAATTAAAACAAACGATGTAACAAAACTTGTATTTCTTTTTGTGTGTTCTTATTTATTTTCCCCAAGTCATTGTTACACATTAATATTGACTTTTACTTTAAATACTGAACTTTTCAATAAAGCAATAAAGCTTATTAAATTGAATAGAAGTGTATATTGTTCTTCTTTTGAATTCTGCAAACTATTTGCTTTCATTTTTGTCACCATTACATTACAAGCTCGGTTATTTTCATCAAGACTGTGGGGCCACTGGCTCCCCAGCTTGTTTGTGGCTGCAGTTTATTGAATTTTGTCTTTTCTATATGAACTTGCACGAGCCACTTACTCATCATGGAGACTTTATGTTCTGGGTTAAATATAACATTCTTGACCACGTCTTTTGTCACATGATGTCTGTAATCATGCACATACATTGGCAGTGAGGCACAGGATATAAATTTGGAAGAAAACTTGCTGCAGATACAAAATCCAGCTGCTTCATACATCCATTATGTGTAGCCTACAGGCTTGATGGCCAAACTCCAGTGTCTCATCATCTCCAGTTGGTCTCAGATATCATGCTTGTTTGAGTTGCTTTCTGTGTGATGCAAACCAACCAAATGTGCAAACTCATTGTAGGTTTACTGTTCATGCCTTTGTGTGGCTTACATGTGTTCGAGTGTGGTTTTATTTTGTGAAGATTTGTTGTAAGCATACATAAGTTGATTTTAGTTCTTCAGGAAAATCACTGAAGCTGCACAAGATGTGATTTTATGTCACACAGGTGGTCAAGTTGACAAAGCAAGCTGGTATTTCTTACAAAATGTTTTTCAAAAAATTCTTGAAACCATCTTTAAAGGTCCAGTATGGGGGATTGGACAAAAGTAGTATAATAAATATATGTTTTCTTGAGTGCATCATCAGCAAGAGGGTTCCTGGTTCAAACCCAGGGTGGAGGAGCCCTTCTGGAGTTTGCATGTTCTCCCTGTGTCAGCGTGGGTTCTCTCCAGGTACTCCAGCTTCCTCCCACAGTCCAAAGACATGCAGGTTAATTGGTGACTCTAAATTGTCCATAGGTGTGAATGTGAGTGTGAATGGTTGTCTGTCTCTATGTGTCAGCCCTGTGATAGTCTGGTGACCTGTCCAGGGTGAACCCTGCCTCTTGCCCAGTGTCAGCTGGGATAGGCTCCAGCCACCATGTGACCCCCAAGAGGATAAGTGGTTACAGAAAATGAATGAATGATATATACATATATATATATATGTAAATATAAATATATATATATATATATACTGTATTTATGATATTGTATTTTTGTACATAGATGATTGTCACTATAGACCTTTCTCTGTATCCTTTATTAAGTCATTATTTTTATTATTAAACTGTTAAACTATAAATCTCTTATTTTCATTTATACTTAGCGGTGTAATGTATTTCCATTCTATGCTGCTTTATACTTCTACTCCAGTAGCTATATTACACATTTTACAGATCACTACGTTTGGTACTTTCTACTACATTTATTTGACAGTTATAGCTGCTTTTCAGATTTCAGATATCTTACATAAATGACATTATCATCTCCTAAAATTTGATGTTTGTCAGGATGTAGGCATTTATTTATTTATTTTAATACTAGCCTATTTTATTACTATGTATTGCTTATTTTTATGTATATGACAAAGGTCCTTGAGTGCACCTGAATTGTGTTGTATGTTTGTACAATGACAATTAAAAAAATCTGAATCTGAATCTGAATCTAAAAAGTGATGATATGTCATAATTGTATTCCTGATTCATTTACACTGCCACCAAGTGACCAACAAAAAAATCCAATGGCTGCAGATTGAAGTATATTCATGTGAATAAACAGGGGCAGCTCTGTTCCCCTCATCCTTATCCCAGCAGTTGGGCCCCTGACAACAGTACTGACACAAATATTTATAGTTCCAGGCACAATCCAGGACCCCTCTCCAGGCCCCCTAAACAATTCAGGCACCCCCAGCCCCAAAAGCTGGTCTGCTAATGCACCATAGTGTTAAATAGTATGGAGGCCCTGGGAGGCAAATCAGAGAAAAGAAAATTTTACAGCCCCCGTGAGCTGTTTTGACAGTAATGTTTCATAACCTGCTAGCACACAATGTGCTTTTATCCTGGGTTCAAATGGGGTCGTGTTTACTGAGTTCACAAGAAGAGTCAAAATGAACACCCCCCTGTTATGGTATTCACAACCTCATTAGTGAACATTTTCTGAGAGGTCCTCGTTAACAAGTTCATGTTGACAACATCCCATGTCGGAAACACAAGCTCACGAGGTCCATTTGAACGCAGCATTAGTCCTATATAGGACATGTGGTAGTGGTGTGCATCAACCTCTTGTGGCCAAAATCAGTATTACAACAACAAACACTTGACAAAAAAATGATTCTGACAAAAAAAGTCCCTTGCCAAAACTTTTTAAAAGCTGTTTTCACAGATGAAAAAAACATACGTTAAGAAAACGATCCTTGCAAAACTGTATTCCCCCACCCGATTCAATGATTAAAAAAAATAAATAAATCCAGGAGAGGCACTAAAAGAAACAGAAACACTAATTAAAAGGCTGTCTTTTATCATATAACTGTTACAGGGTCGATTCTACAGCAGTAACAAAGTCAAATGTACATTTCTAATATTAAATATTATAATTACCTGAAATTTTGTTTCAGTTGTGTTCACCTGACACTCTCAGGCCTCCATAGTCAATATGTGGAATGTTTGATACTCAGTTTCTGTACCCCCTTGTTCACCTTTGGAGGTACCCCACCTATAAAGGGGTGTCTCCCGCCTTACCTCTCCCCTTTTGCTGTTGTAGTCCATTGGAGAGGTAAGCAACATTGCTCTTGTAGTAATTTCCCTGTTTTAGTGCTGTTAAAGTGTTTATAAGTTAATTTTTCAGCTTAAACTCATTGTATAATATGCTAACATGTTCCTGTGTCACTTAATTTGTGTTGGGGCTCAAGTTTATATGATTGTAATGACAGAGGATCTTGTTTTTGCCACTCGCTGTCAGGTATGTTTTCTGTGTTTTATAGTTCTGAATAGAACACAACATGGCCGCCCTTCTGCTGTTGTGCTCCATGGAAGAGGGGCTCAGGTTACATCGTGTTTATGTTAATGTCAGTAAATCAAACACATATACAGAACATAGCGATTGAACGGACATAAAAAAGTTCAGTAAGATAAAAATCACACTCTTTAAAAGACGAAAACCAGAGCACTGGGGCTTGGATTGTCAGCGTCATCAAGATGTACGGCCTTGAGGTACTTCTTTTTGATTTAAAGGAGACCTTGTGGACAGTTGGTGGACTGTGAATATAACTGTGTTTTTTGTGTGCTAAGAACCTTTCTGTCAAGAGGCGATTTAAATGACTGCAGCACTTGGTTGAAGGATGACCTTTATATCTCTGGTTTCATACTATTAAATGCAATCGCCAGAAAATGAATGCATTTAGCACATTTTATAGCTCAGTTTCTGGACATACAGTTAGCTTAACTTGTGCATTATACAGCAGCTAATGTGCTCCTGTTGCATCAGTGTCTGTATCTCCCTGGTGGAATTAAAAAACAAATCATTTGCCCACATTTCCCCGATCTGCACACAGTGGTGACAGCCGTGCATGTCAAAGTGAGGCAGGATGACATCATGACAGGCGCCTGCCAAAAAAGACAAAATAGATGTTTTGATTTGGTACACAGCCGAGCTAAAAATATGTGGTGTGGTGATGGAAATGTAGGAGCGGGGAACCGCCGTGTATCCTTTTAGTGTGTTTTGTCTCTCTTAGCGCAACCTCTCCCACATAAAAGGTGTGAACAATCTCTTCTCCCGAGTTTACGGCTGTCACAGACGAGAATATTGACACAGGCAAACTTTGGTCTCTGCATTGCTGGGTTGTTGGTGGTAATTATGGGCGCTTTCTGACTGTCCAAACAGTAAATGTGAGTGTGCAGCCTGAAATTTCAAGTGTCCTTCAAATAAACCTGAGTGTCCTGTCACCAAATATCACGCTGATGCTACTATCCTGCTTTAAAAATGTGAATTTGCAAGTGTTACTGGTACCCTGTCATTATGGACAGCATCCTCACTGATGTGTCTGCTGAAGTTGCAGGTTCCAGGATGTTATTTGCAGTTATTTTCTCGTGCACGCTGCCTTCGCACCGTGCTTTTGAATGCATAGGTGCAGACAGCTTTTACATTTGCAAGTTTGTGTACAGTGTGCTGAAATAATCTGAGCACACCTGTACTTTCAACTCAGAAATGATTGTGTATGGGTATATACAGTGGATACAACTCTATTTGCAGTCATGGAAACTTTTTCTTGATGTCAGATCTTGTGTTCAGTGCAACATATCGCAGACATGTGTTGAAGTGGATTTTGTTACTTAGATAACATTGTCTCTGCTTCCTGTATTTCTTTTCAGAAGCCTTTGTACCAAACATTGTCTTTCACAGTGTGAATTCTGCTCTGTAATGATTTGAGGATGTTTGTATCTCCCCCACCATTGTTTTTTATCCTTCACATCGAACAAAACTATCATGTTGCAACACTTATCCGGCTTTAGGTGGCGAGAAAAACATGGCAGGTAGTCATTGCTGTGTAATAACAGATCTGGGAGACAGAAAGTTAGTATACACAGAGAGAAATGCCTGTGCTGGAAATGGACAGCAAGCATAAATAGATCTTTTATTTGAAGCCAGGGAAAGACCCCGCTCGACCCTGATGTAGGTACATTGTCCCTGTACAGTCAATTTCCAGCAATCTAACCTGTCACAGCACTCACTGGAGCTCACCAGTAGCTCAATGCAATTTTGAGACTAAATGTACCGTCCAGTGTCTGGTCTATGATGGA